AAATCTCATACATCAGCATTCGTCGTTCTAGCAATGGGGCATTAAGAGTCCGAACCGGTGCTGCATCCGCACACTTTTTCTATTGATACTCTGCCGCACGGCATCCGGAGCGTACGTACAGCCACGCATTGCGGAACATGTGTAGTCGACTAGAAAGCGAACACTACTGTAACATATCATCGAGTTTCGCGATCTATCAGCCAATCCGAAGGTTTCAAGCGGCCAACACGAAGAAAAAGAAGAAGAAACTAGTCAGCCCGGGGAACAATGGAGTACGACTACAACATGATGGGTATACCACAAGAACAGCTCCAGGAATGCGCCCGCAGCGGCACAAAATTAGCGGGACAAGTCAACGTAGAAGAAATAATCGCATCACTAAGATAGAGCACGGGATAACAATTTTCAGAGCGACGGCGGGTTGACGATAGCGGGGCCGGGCAGCGCCCTCCACTGTAGCAAGGTCGGGTTAAATGAGTGACAAATTCATAAACAAGGTTTGAGGGGAAGCGCGTACCTGATGAGAGTCGAGATACGGGCTCGCGCCCATGTCTTCGTACGAGTTCCTGTCCTCAAAGTCGTCGCTGCTCCACTTGGGCTCGGAGGGCACAACCGCAGGGAGTGGGACCGAGAGGACGGGGCACGATGGCGGGTACTCCTCGTCCGAATCCGACTGAGCGTCTCGGAGAAACTCCACATTTGTGCGCGTCGCGAGGCTCTGGGGGACCCAGCGCAGTTTAGACGGCAGCTTTCCGACCTCGTGTACCTCTGATATAATAGGGGCATCGAATCCCACCGTGAACTGAGACGGAGCCGTCGGGTGGTCGGAAGAAGGGAAGATGCCGTGTGTACGGAGATGACGTTTCGCGTTAGAGCGGACGGCGAAACTCTTCGTGCAGTTCGGAATGGGACACTTGTACGCTGTTCTCATTGTATCAGACACGCCTGCACAGCAACGATAAAACAGCGCTACGCACGTTTAGCACCAGAGTGCGAGTTCATGTGTGTCGCCAGACCACTCGGGCGCGGGAACCACTTCTGGCAGACGGTGCACTGGTGCATCTTCGACTTCTTGGGCTGAGTCGGTTTTGATCGCTCACCACCCTGGCGTTCTGGCAGCATGTGAGGCGAGGATAAGGCTGAGTCAGGGGGAGGGGTCGGGCTGCGGGGCTCGACGCTGTTATCACCACCGCTCGAGCCTGAGATTGATCCGGCCATTTCGTCAGTTGACGATCGACGAGAGGACTGGACGGCTTGGTAGGTAGAGCGGTAGACGTCTGCGCTCGCAGACGGCAGGCTGCCTTCTGATTCGTCGTCATACTCCTCGCCATCATAGACAAGAGGCGGCACAACGGCGGGGTTCCCAGGCTCGCCCAGGTTTCCGGGTAGCCGCAGGTGAGACGAATGTGACGGGAGCGTTGCCGAGTCGCGCCTGCCAACGAAGGAGGACAACACATCTTGCTGAGTAGGGGGACGCGATCTCCCGGACAGCCCGGGGAGACCACCGAGTTGGGAAGAGGCGGAAGGTTGGGACCTCGAGTACGAAGTTGAGGTGAGGTGATCGTAAGATGTGTCGGAAAAATCTTGCCACGAGCTACGCCCTCCTCTGAGCGCACTCTCAGCACCAAGAACAGGGCTCGGGTTGTGTGAAGACTCCGTGAAGCTGTATGAGGCGAGCTCCTCCTCCGGAGAGCGGGACGTCCTGGACGACATGGCACTGCCGGTGGAAGGACTGTAGTAGCGCGAGTTGTACATAGTATTATATGCCGAGTTGGAGACATGCGTGCGCTGAGAAGACTCTGGGTAGGCTACGCTTTGGGTGGAGGATGTCGAGTTTGCATTCGAGTAATACTCTTGCTCGAGCGGCGGGCCGTACTCAGAGTATGGGGTGCTGTTGGGAGAGTCGTAGTCTGAACCATGCTGCGAACCTGTGGACCACGATTGACGAGATCCGTACGAGGTGAGCGAATCTCCGGTTGCACCGCCCAGAATCGAAGCGCTGGCCGCAGAGGGGTACGACCCTTGATGATAGCGTTGACTGGTGGCAGCGTACTGGTATTGATGATAGAGCTGGTCATCGAACAGGGGAGCGTTGAGGGGCATCGAGGGCGAGGGGCGAGAGGCAGGGGAGGCGTTGAAGAGCGCGCCACGCATGAAGTTTAGCTGCGAGTTGCTAGGCGGGCGAACGCGTCAATGAACAGTCGGGACGATGACGAGGAGACAGGCGACCAACCAGATGCGGACTGCGGCTGAGTGCGGTCTGTGTTGAGGCGGATGTGGGATGACGAAGGAGCAGTCAGAGGTCGGTGATGATATAGGACGAGGGTCGTGGCCTGGTCATGACTGGTAGGAGAATGAACGGGTCATCCAAGGAAAAGGCAGAATTCATATAGATGCAGAATCTGGTCGGTTTGAGCGCACAGGGAGCAGAACAAGAGATGATGCTTGCTCCCTGTATGGCAGTTCACAGCCAGAACACTGCCTGTGCTCTCGCAGCCCAATCTCCATCCTCCCTGTCCAATCCTCACACACAATCAAAAGATGGCCAAATCCGCCAACTCACCCGACCATCTTGCCATCCCGTCATTTCCACCACATCCGCATCCCCAACCCGCCATCGCACAGCCCAACCTGCGGTCCAGACGGTGCAGCTCAGACACGACACGTCTGATCAGCGTCAACGTCGTCGGATGCGGCGGGCGGAGGCAATGCCGTGTCCGGCGTCTCCGCCGAAAGACCCATGTCACGTTGTCGCCTACCATTCCTGGGACATTCCTGCGTGCGTGTTCACAGCCATTTCTGCTCCGCGGCATAATCTAGCCCTCCCCAGAATTTGTGCTTATGACCCTGGGAAGGAAGAACAGTGTCGAGGCACTGGAACCTTTCCATTCAAAAACTCATAATCACATCTCACATATAAACGTCCGTGCTCAGCAGTCAGCATCATGCTCGGACGAACCTCCTCCATACAGTACACATGGCCACACCAGAAGTCGCAGGTACGGATCGATTCCGCCCACAGATTGGCCTGATGGGTATGTGCTTGCACGGGCGTCCGCACCGCGATTGGGTCGATGACGAGGCATGCGAGCAACAGCAGTCATGCCGCTGCTAGCGACGGACAACGGGGACGCGGAACAATTAGGCGGCCACGTATCTAGGGGATGAACAATGAAGTCATGCTCGCAATGCGGTAGCACAAATGAGCGATCGCTCACCGAAACTCTGCCAGCCTGGCCTTCTTGTCGAGAATAACCCCTCTCTCGGAGTCTGACGAGCCGGGCCGCGCTGCGTCGTTGATGTCGTCCGCGGACCCCATCCTCTGAATAGCCGCCATCTGAGGCATAAAGGGCAGGCTTTTCCGGTTCGCTGGACGCAGATCCTGACGAGACGGTGTGCGCTTCGCAGCACTTGTCGACTCTCTTGGGCGTTGACGTCCGTCCGAAGTTACTGTCGTTTCGCGACGTCGCAAGGTCCCGAGTTTCTGACGTACAACCTCAGATATCACGCTCTAAACACATGCACAACGCTTAAACATACCGATTGCTTGTTTCTGGTGATCACCCCTGCGCATGCCCAACGTTCCCACCAGCCGTTTGCTATTCGGTCATTCTTCGTTGCTGAAGCTTGCCTCTTAGACTCTTCGATATCATCATCGGTCGCCTCATCGTGCCCGTCGTCTGCAGGCACGCTGACAACACGCTGACTCGAATTATCAGGCGTCACCGGTTCGCTCGAGGACGCCACCGTCCCCATCGAGTCTTCATAATCCTCTTCATCGATGTCGCTCGTGCCCTCGCTCCAGTTCTCGAAGATATCGCGAAGATCAGGCCCGTGGCGGGCGGGGCTGTCTGCACGCCTGCGCGTCTTCTTACTGGGCGTAGGGGTGCCGTGCACGAGAACATTCCCGGCTGAGTGAAATGAAGATGGGGATGCGCTTACTCTGCCGACGCCCCTTGCGCGATGTCGCTTTTGGGCCGCCTCGCCAGGGCTGGAAAGCACCTCTGCATCGAACTCGTCGAAGTTGTTCTTGCATTCATCCAGGTCTTGTGTCGGTTCCGAAGGAACTGCGCGGCGGGTTCGCGGCCGCACGGGCGACGATAGCTCGGGCGAGTCCCACCTCGCGAAGGAAGGAGATGGTGACATGTAGCCGTCTTCCTGCGTAACAGGGTCCGCAGCTTCCTCCATCGATGTCTCGCTCTCCTCGCCCTCGTCCTCGGATGGCAGACAGGGAATATTCTCTTTGTTCTTGCCCAGTTGCGATGAGCCGGACGGTCCGGCGACGGACTCTGTACCCAAAGGATCATGCGTAATATGGCGTTGTAAACCTTTGCCCGGTTTGGGCGAAGATGGTCCAGCGAAGAACCTAGAACTAGTGCCCTGCGGCGCATTACGAGTCGATGTGCTCAACGAGTCGTGTTCCTTGCATTTCTGCTTCTTGCACGCCATATCATGCTCCATCACTTCCGTCAGAGTCCGCTTTCCACTAGACTGGCCTGCAAGGGGTCTCGTCGATTCGGGGAGGGCGGCAGTCAGAGGGGTAGTAAGCTGCGGCGGAGTGTTTGGCCGAGTATGCATCTTTGGGGCTGATACCGATGTCAGACTTGAACAGCAATCATGGGCGACACTGATGGTAACTCACTAAAGAAAGTCAAGATACTCTCTCTCCTAACTTTCTCCGATATCGCCATCTTCTCCTTTCCTTTGCACCTCGCAATGTCGGAGCTCATGCTGTTCAATGGTATTGGCTTGAGCGCCCGCGGAACGAATGTCGGATTGATGTCCACCATGGGAAGAAGCGTTGTAGGGCACGCGTCACCCTGCGCCACTTTTCTCGCCAGGGAAGGTTCAATGTATCTACACACGACAAGCTGTCAGTTCGTCACTGAAACGTAATAAGTCCTTAAGCACTTACCTTCCAACATACGCCTCTTTCTCTTCGTCCCAGTCCTCGCCATCAGGAAGTGGAGATAGATGCACGAGCATATCTTTCAGGGGGTCGTACACTCGTTGGTGGAGGAAGACCTTTTCAGCTAGTCTGAAAGCTTGTAGGTACCCCTGCGGTATAGACTTCTTGCCCTCGATCCGTAGAGCCCGTATTACGTTCTCTACGCAGCCATGTTTGCGGAGAAGCGACCAGGCCGTCTTTAGACCAACGCTAGGAATGCTCGGGAGATAGTCACAGCCACTGAGAATGGCCATGGCTCGGAACTGTACATCTGACCAGCCGAGCAGGGAGATACCGCCACCGGATGAGGCCGTTAGTGATGCGAAATCTTGTCGAGAGATGGAGATCACCGTGCTCTCGACTGTATCAAGTTTGAGCAAGACAGACTTGCATCCAAACACGAGCAGGTCGGAGTCTTCCGTGAGGATGCCGTCGACAAGGCCAATGCGTTCCAAGTATGCCATCTGTGCGTCGGCTTCGTACGGGGCGACAACGTACGCCACGTTCTCTGCGCGTAGTGCCTGAAAGATCAGGACGCAGAGACATGATCAGCAATATGCGTGAACGTGTCTCACAAACCGCCCACCTTGATGAACTGAAATGCCATTTGAGGAGTGACGTCGATGCACTTGACGTAGTATTCACGAGCCTGGGTGTGCTTCCCTTGTGCCGCGAGTGAGTTCGCGCGTGCGAGGTTTTCTTCGCGCTTCTTTTTACGGTCAGACTCGGTGCCCTTCTTGGCTGACAGGGGACCGCCGTCAAAGACAATGTACGGGATAATGTTGTAATGTTTCAAGAGCCTCACTCTGTGCATGGCGTAGTTGACATATCTGGACACATATCGTCAGCGCGCTGTTTTAGAGCTTCTTCATATTGGGTGTATGCGCTCATCATCTCGCATATTACGCAGCGAGAGCCGAAGCTGCACTGCTGGTGCTCATGCTGGCCACAATTACCACCTCGTGTTTGGAAGAGACCGCACTCATCCCACATGTCCAACTCCGTTCCTACACGTTTCATGAAAGCTTGAAACTTACTTGGTCGTCTTCTTCCCGGTAGCCAGATCCGTAGCACAGGCGTAGGTCCCCCGATGTAGCCAAACATAAGCGTCAACAGCGATGGTCTGTCCCGAGTATTCTGAAAGATGCTTGTGCTTCTGGATGGGCTTGAGTAACGGCAAAAGGCCTGAGATACCCATATTTCAAAATTACGAAGATAGAGAGGGAAAGGGAGGGAGGCCCATCCAATGCGAGATCGCTGTCCAGAGGTGAGAGTCTAAAATGTGAGGTAATTCCCAGGAAATCCAGAGACGAGCGCGGAACAAATAGCAGTAAACAACGCGCCCCGCGTCTACCCCATCGCGTCCACCGTGGCCTCGTCCGCCTCGTCAAGCGCCCATAAACTGCCTTTCTTTCTCAGACACTACGGCGCCGCGCGCAAGCTCCTATTGCTTGCAAATGCTGTGTGTTATGTGTAGAAAGCTATCCGAGTTATTCCGAGGGTCTGTCGGTGGCTGCAGATAGTGCACTTCAGCTGACAATGGCGTGCTGGCCTGCTGTCCGAACAGCTTTCATATCACAAGCTGAGGAATCTTGTGATCCTCAATCCCACAACGCAATCCACCCTGCAATGCGTGAACAGGCCTAAACTCCCGGACTCAATCGATCTCTGCTCATGACGGAATAGGTTCGTCATTCCCTTTCCACCGGTATGTTCACAGCCCAGAGTCCTGACGATCACCCGTAAAAAGAGTACAGGCGATGCCTTGTCTCTTCGGCACCCACGTTTTCCTCCGATATCGACTATCGAAGGTTCTCTCAACGCATGGCCCTGAGCCTTGCTCCCGATAGCTGCGAGGTTATAGCTAAAATCTCGCCCCGCGGTAAGTTGCCGAGCATGCCCCGCCTTCTAGGTGCACGTCAGCAAGATACTAAAAAAGGCCTCAGCGTGTGCCTCGCTTCGTCCTCGCGTCATCGATTTTCTCAGCTCGTCATCGCCCTGCACTAGGTACTAGACATGCTCAGATGCCCGCGTCATCTCACGTCGCGATGGCAATAACCACCGTAATGTCCGCGGACGGGTCGCACGCGCGACGTAACTTCCCGACATTGAACACGCGTAACGCGAGTGCAGCGGACGCGTCCACAGACGCGTCTTCATGCGGTGGCCATCTACCCCGGGTCGCAAAAGACAGCGCCGGTGGCAGCACGCACATTGCCGTCCATGAGATAACCGACGAATGATACTTGACAATGAGAAGTTCCGGAGTCCGTCCCCGTGTTCAGCCAGACCCGGCTACAGCGATGATCACCCTTAGTTGGTCACGCTCTGGGCTGCGGAATCTCAGCAGGTACATGGAGGCAGTATAGATATTATTCAGTCACTTCGGTTCCTCCGGCGAGTGTACATTTACAATCCATTTGTGTCTACTGTTACAGTGCCCCGAAGTGCCTCGAGGTGCTTGCATAACAAAGTCGCCGCTGCAAAGTCTGCTTGCCGTGACGGCTCACGCCAGCGCGTTCTTGGCTCGCTCCGCAGCGAATCTCTCCCGAGCAGCTTGTGATTCACTCGTCGGGACTAATACGAGATCGTGTTGCAGAAGCTTGAAGGCGCCACCTTTGGGAAAACCGCGTTTCTTAGCTTCGGCGTCATCCTTGACCTCCTTCAGGCCCTAAAGTGCACAAATTAGGTCGTCGAGCTCCCTTTTTTGATGGTCCTACCAGTCACGCACCACGACAAGGGATTTCTTGACACCGAAAACCGCATCACTAGCGAGCCATTGGTCACCCTCCGGATACAACGCAGTGGTGAGCTTCTGATATCCTGGGGCTTCAATCATGGTGTGCAGGTGGTTAGGTCGCATGTTATGGCGCCCCATGGCAGTGAGTAATTCGCCGACGGGCCCCTATATGTTCCGACGGGTCATGAGCCTCACATCGATTCCTATGATATTAGAAAGCACTTACATCTCCAGGAATTGGGTAAGAAACGGGCACGACTGCGCGGTAGCCGTACTTTCCGTCCGGGCCTGTGCGTAGGCGACCTCGACAGTCCGGCTTCTCGCGAACTTCATACTGCGTGTCATACGAACCTGCGTACCCTCATGTCAACATTCCCACAATGACGGCCAATCATGTCCACTCACCATTCCCGTCCGTCTCCCATGTCTCGATGGTCGCACCCGGGATCGGCTTTCCATCGATAGACAGCACACGGCCCTCGACGTACATATAATCGCCTTTGCCTTCGGACGCGATGGATTCGCCGATCTCGACTGCAATGCGACTTATAAAGTAAGTGCTTAACTCAAAACGGACAACGGACCTTCCGGAGCGTCCTCTGTGAAGAACGGTCCCAATACGCTGCTCTCCGTCGCTCCATTAATCGGAGGGTTATTGAGCGCATCCACGAGAGCAGAAACACCAAGCGTATCAGACAGCAAAATGAACTCCTGACGAATTGGTGTGCACGTCTGCCCGACGTTAGTCAGAAACTGGATTGCGGTCATCCATTCCTCTGTCGTAAGGCTATGGAGGACTTAGACAGGCCGGCAAATTGCGAACCATCGTAACACACCTCGTCTCGTTGATAAACTCGTGCATGTGTCGTACAAGGTTCTTGAGGAGGAACTTGTGTCTTCTACACCCTCTCTGTCAGGATTGCTCAACATCGCACACCGGGAAATCGCACTCGTTGGGAGTTAGCTCCACCAGCTTCAGCAGGTTCGACGTGATCAGCTCCGGCTTATCGGGATACTGAAAAGCAGAGAGCCATTAACGGTTTTGGCGGAACGGCACTTGCCATACGGCAGCAACGTACGGGCAATTCGAACGGGGGTGGCGGAAGACCATTCGACTGTGGCTTCTTTTCGGTCTGTTCGTTACCAGCGGCCATCGCAAGAGTCAGTGCAAGTTAGTCGACAAGATGTGGGTGATTCAGCGAACGCTCGACGCAGAGGATGCCTGCAACGAACACGTCCTTGGGCGTATTTATCCCTCTATTGTGATTGAGCGGTGCGAGAACGTCGCATCCATTTGCGGCTGGTCACATTGGCTGGTTAGAAATCATGTGGGCGCCTTGACGCCCCCGCACGCTCTTAAAGCGATCGTTCGGGGTACAGCTGGCAGCAGCTAGTCTCAACTAGTCTGTGGACCTTGCTCATCATGGGCTATGGTTAGCAATACGCCCAGAATATGCTGTCGGACAGTGTCCAGTCATATAGGACGCATTACACTTCGCGAATAGGCCGACCATAACTGCTGAACTGATAAAGCGCTTGGCACTTCAGGCCTCAGGTATCGGCAGCTGACGCCCGCCTCCCCGCCGTACAACACTTACAACACACATCGTTAGTGATCATCGTTACCTGATACCATCCCAACGCGCCTCGTTTCCTACTTGTTCATTGATTTTCATTGTGACTTATCAGAAAATTGACCCTGCTTCGACCGGTTGTCCTGATTTTAGGGGACAATGCGCATGTTGCTACGAGACCGCTCCGCACCCCATACGACACGGGCCTACGAGCATATATAGAGAAAGGCAGGGGAGCAAGTACACCATCCCCTTTTCTTTCCGTTCACACCAGTGCCTCTTGACGAGGACAGCTGCTTGCAGCGAGCTATCGAGGATACCTGGCTGGCCATCCACCCGTTCTTCAGCTTTCGTCTCTTTTTTGACATTAGTCGCCCCGGAAGACGCGTCTGCCCAAGTCTCTAGCTCTCCTTCCACGAAGCCGATTCGTCACGATGTTCTCCAAGCTCTACCTTGTTGCCGCGCTCCTTCTCGGGGCCATCTCCCTCCGGGCAAATGCGCACACCGGCATCACACCTGCGCTCGGTGTGAGTGGGCAATTCGCGCGCAGCGACGTTCAGAGGCCATCAACGGCGAATGAGTGTGGCAACGTCAACGTTGCAAACACTATCAACACCTCGACTCCTGTCCAAGCCGCCGCGAACGGTACTTTCACTGTCACCGCCACCAACTTCAATGCGTGAGTGCCTTGGTCATTACCTACACACTCTGGGAGATCGCTGATTCATGCTCATAGTGGCCAAGATGGCTCGAGACAAGTCACCGCCCTTGTTGACGCATCTGGAGCTGGCACGAACTTCGTACCTGCGACGGTGACGCAGAATGGAGACAAGGCTAGTGCCCACATAATTAGTTATAGTATCCGCATCGTACTCACTATGTAAATGCAGGCTCCTACCAGCGTCGGTTCGCAGCAGATTGCCGTTTCCTTGCCATCAGGTACCAAGTGTACCGGCGGCCAGGGTGGCAATCTTTGCCTGGCCAGCTTCACCACTGCTGGTGGCTTCGGCAACTGTGTTGTCGTCCAGCAGGCCGCCGGGGCTGCCGGTAACAACTCTGCGGGAGATGCTGCTACTGGTGCTGCCGCGAATACCGCCGCCCAGGCTGCATCCGACTCTACCGCTGCATCTGGTTCTACCGCCACGTCCGGTTCTACCGCTGTGACTGCTAGCGCTGCCGACGCTGCTGCCCCTACCATCAGCGCTGCTGCTAATGGAACTACTACGACCACTACTGGCAAGAAGCACCACCACCACAAAGGCGCTGCCAACGCGACTGGTGTTGCGGGTGCTGCCAACGCGACTGGTAATGCGGGTGCTGCCAACGCGACTGTAAACGCGGGCGCTGCCAACGCGACTGTCAGCGCGACTGCCCAGGCGGGGGGTGCGAATGAGCAGTTTGCTAAGGTCAAGGCCGCTGCTCCCCGTGCCTACGTGAGTCCTCCTCTGCGCAGGATGTCGACGAGTTATCTGATACTTCTGGTCTATTCAGGGGGCTCGGCTCGCTCGAGCCGCTCGTCGCGCTCTTGCCTCACTCGAGGAGGAGCTTTGGGCATGAGACTTACGAGAACGGGGCTGGCTCCTTCGATAGGACTTAGCTGTAACTTGTGACAAAGCTCAATGTCATTGGTGTTGAACACTGGGATTACCATGCATTGTGTGAATCTTGTGTCTGTTTGGATAGCATACAAGTATCAAGGTAAACAGATTACTTCCTTAGGAAACCGCTCAGTGCCTCGAAGAGGTCTTTCGGACGTTCTTGTTGCACCCAGTGCCCTGCGTTTGAGACAAGAGTGATTCCTCTGAAGTCGGTGCAAACCTCCTTCATCTTTTCTAGCGCACCCGGACTCTGGTAAACGCCCCAATCCTTCACTCCTCCAATAAACATTGCCGGGACTTCGATCTTCTTCCCGGCAAAGACACCTAAATCCTCCGTATATTTGGCATCGACTTGGGCCCTGTACCAGTTCAGCCCTCCTTGAAAGCCCGTCCGACCGAACTCGTCGACGTATACCGACAGCTCTTCATCCGGCAGCCAGCTATTGCGGAGGACTTCCACTTGCGAGGGCGCATGTGCCTCCACAGCCTCGGGCATCGTCTGCTGGATAGGCATCGCGTAGTAGTGCGGCAGCTTCAGGATCTGTGATATGTCCTCGAGCGGGTGGGGATTGTTGCCCGGCCAGTCCGCGCTCTTCATGTGAAAGTACGCACGAAGGAACGCTTGGAGGCCTTGCGGTGGGTTGCACATATCTGTATTGGCGCTCGGTGTGCTGTAGTACGTCGTGTAGTGCTTCATTGGCGGATGCAACAACGCGAGGTGGTGATTCAGTGTCGCCCATGCGCCCCGGCGGTCCCGAGCGAGTACGTGATGCTCCTCGCCGAAGACGGTTGGATGCCGCGGCTGCCCTGCGTACGGCGCAGACATGCACACGACAGAGGCAAATATGTCGGGGCGAATGAGAGCGCAGTGCGCGGCAACGGGAGAGCCAAAGTCGTGCCCTATCACAGCCGCAGCCGTATCGTATCCGAGACCGTGCACGAGGGCGACGATGTCCTGGGTAAGGTTGAGCATGCGGTAGGGTGCGAGCTCGTCCTCGTAGGCAACCTGTTTGCCCTGCGAGGCTGGACGCACGGTCCTGCCATATCCACGCTGGTCGGGTGCGGCAACGAAGTAGCCAAGTTGCGAAAGCGGGACAATAATCTCTCGCCAGGAGTACGAGAGTTCAGGAAAGCCGTGTAGGAGAAGAATTAAAGGGGCTTCCCGCTCCCCTGCATGTAGGAAGTGCATGTCCAGGTCCCTGACCTTGATAGTAGAGGATTTGACACCCTCGGGTACGTTTGGCCAGGGCAGCTCCATTAATTGCTGTCATACAAGGGTAGCATCAGTACTAACTCGCCGCGCGTTGTGCCCCCTAACTTCTTACCTATATTGTGAGAGCTATGCACAAGGACAGTGCGCAAGTGACGGAATCGCAGCCAGCTAAGAAGTCGACGTGATAACAATATAGGAGAGGATCAGGTTCGCATCGCGTAGATATACGGCATCATTGCGTCTATGTGCAGGCAGGCGCCAACTCAACGCGTTCTCGCCGAGGCGACCCACCCCGGCAGTAAGATTACAGGCCATTGCAAGGGAAGAGCTTACATATAGTCTGCCCGAGGCAGAGGTCCCGACGAAGTCTGGATCGTGTTTTGCTAGAACAACGAACATTCTCATATTAGGCCAAGCCTGGCTAAGCGTCGATGAGATACATGGCCATTTCCCCAGCGATAACCATCCAAAGTCACATCCAGCGATGCGTCAGCACGGCCTTGCGGTACGCTATCAAAAGTAAGCTGACCAAGGGCTGGTCATCTTCTGAATCGCTCGAGCCGTGCGAGCGCCCTATCGATGGGTTAGCAATTCACTCAGAGCTCGGTGAGCTACTGCACGAGGGTCGGTAAGTAGCCCTTCGCACCGTAGCCGATCGAACTCAGCCCGCCTTGCTTTGTAACTGACCGAGATGACGTTCTGCTCAACTACCACATAATTCCTGACGCTGGCAACCGTCACGAACAACACCAAGCAAAGATAGCTAGATGGCCTGTCTGCGCAACTTAAAGTTACTCCAGTGGATAGCTGAATGGTCAGCTCTCTCGCACATCGACAGTTGCTAGGGTCTACAACTGATATCAGCTAAGTGCGGCGATACTGGAAGCTTTCGCTCACCGGGTCGTTCTTTTGCAGCACGCGGGCCCGCGATGTGAAATGCCACCCCCCGAGACCGTCAGATTGACCTGCGCAATGACTTGACGCACGTTATCTTCCTCTCTACGTGCAACATGTCAACCTGCAGCACACAACAATAGAGAGATTGACACACACACGCACTTTTAAATTGGTCACGTTGGCCAGAAAGAAATCGTCCGCCGAAGCGTTGGTAACTATCTCTTATGGCAGCTCTTCCGCGATGTCGATACACCTGTGCAATCATTTTGTTGTCTGTCTCTGGATGCCACTTCTCGTCGCGAGAGAAGGACGGGCGGCCGTTAATGCTACACGCCTGGCTAGGATAGAGAAGAGAAACTTTTGAGGGCTAGCCTTTGGAAAGATGGGAACCGGGCTGAGACTGATACACTATCCAAGTTGGGTAGCCATGCTTGAACGAAGATGCGAAGGGTACAGTGCGCCACACGGTGGCTGTTAGCGTTCTGTCCAGAGGGCAGAATACCGGTTGGAATGCTCAGCAGCTGAGCTAGTGAGTGCGAATATCGGTGCATGCGCAAGATAGCGAGAACGTGGCCTGTCAGTTCCTGTGCTGCACCGCGTAGACGGCTTGTCACAGTGCAGTCAACCGAAGCAGTGGAACTTCCTTGGAGGAGACAGATGTCAGCTATGAAGATCTCCTGATAATCCTCCAAGCTTCAGGCTTTGCGACGAATCGCCGTGATTTTAGCTACAGGGCTGGACATATCGCCTCAGTCGTCGCAACCCAGCTCGTCAGTATATGCGAAGTCCAGGTAGATAACTTCGGCACTTTAAAGTCTAACCTGGGCAAATACATAGGCATTGTGGAGCTGGTTGGGCGGCGGCGGTAGCTCGCAGATGAGCACCCGGTTTTGAACTGTGAACGGGGCCAGCGTTATAAGCATGTCAAAGAAATCTTTCTTCGCCAGGTTGAATTAGCGTCCAATGTCAACTCGCGTGCAGACAGAATGAAGGCACTCAAAAGTGAAGTCTACGCTGCTGTGTACTGCCGTCTGTGAACAGAGGCGTGCAGATGCAAGCAGACCCAGTCACGGCTGATTTATGCACGGCAACTGACGCCCAGCGACCGAGCTGAGCCATCGTGTCATTTTGCATGATGGCTCCCGCTCATGAAATCCAGAAACCCGAAAAACTCGTGATATCCAAAGATCTAGTGAATTGCCCGAGGCTCGAATATATAGCATAGGGCAGAACATACCCGGACTACACGCAAGGCACATATGGCCAACGACGAGAGCCAGAGCACTTCGTTCTCAGCCGAGAGGTACTTTGCGACCCAGCTTCCGCCTGCATCCCTCGAGGCGGACGTTGCACAGGTAAGGGAATGGGTGCAGAGGCAGCAAGAGGCTAACAGGCAGGTCGTTCTGGTTACTGTGCGTCCCACAGCTCTGGACCATCCTCTGTGTGGCTAACCTCATTCGCGGTAGAGTGGAGGAACAACCGTCCCACTCGAGCTCAATGTGTGAGCACCGTCCCACCACGCTCTCTCGAGGCTGCACTCACTACGCCTTGATAGGGTCCGATTCTTGGACAACTTCAGTGCCGGTCTGTTGCCGTTTTTCCCCCGTCCATATGTCGTCTGATCCCTGCCAGGTACACGAGGTGCAACCTCCGCCGAATACTTCCTGAAAGCCGGTTATGCGGTCATCTTCATGCATCGCCAGTTCAGCCTACAGCCTTTTAGTCGACACTATTCACATTCCACACATCCCTTCCTCGACTTCCTCGACGTAGATGACGTTGCAGACATCCAAGTGAAGGCTGCGGAGCGTCCACAGCTCATCGAGGTACTGAAGACGTACAAGCGGGTGCAGGGGGCTGGGACGCTGCATATGCTTACTTTTGTGACCGTAAACGATTATCTCTGGCTCCTTCGCGCCATCAGCAAGGAGCTGTATCCACTCGGCCGGAACGCAATGTTCTATCTCGCTGCGGCCGTGAGCGATTTTTTCTTGCCTCGGCAGAAGATGGTATGTCTCGTTTCCTCCCGTTTTTACATCTATTGATCTCGCCTACCAATCACGCCAACGTTGACGATTTGCGGCAGAGCGAGCATAAAATCCAATCGGGCAAGGGAAGCCTGCATATCGAAATGGACCAGGTGCCCAAGATCCTGAAACCCCTCGTGACAGAATGGACAAGAGGGGGCTACATAGTATCTTTCAAGGTAGATCTAACTCATCCCTCAAATCACGAACCGGGGTAGCTTATCCATATACAGCTTGAAACGGAAGATGCGCTCCTTATACCTAAAGCGCGGGCTGCGCTCGCAAGATATGGCCACCAGGTCGTTATTGGTAATGAGCTACATACGCGTAAATACCAAGTCGTGTTCGTCTCGCCGGCAACCGGCAAGCCAGCCCAGACGGAGAGCGGTGGAGACTCGGACTCGTCGAAATTTTCAGAGTCTTGGCTTCGGATAGATCTTGCGGCGGATCCAACGAAAGAGATAGAGGAGGATATTGTGGCGGAGCTTGTACGGCGACATCGAGTGTGGTCAGGCAGTGGTTTGTCCAGTCAGCCTGCTGCGTAGGCATGTAGGGCACCCGTGTAATTAATAGGTATAGATCCAGTGGCGTTGCTAGACAGTGACCACCGCCATGACGTCCTATCTTGATTATGACTTTTCGTCGTACGATCTTCTGTGGCTGTACGCACCCTTCCCTGGGAGCTGGCATTGCAAATTGTGGGTAGTTGTAATATCCAGGCGCCACACGGGATATGCCTCCGAGTCCGGCGCAGCGTTCGTGGGTGCTCAGACTTTTCGAGGGCACGGCTTCCACATGCCTTCCATCAATCTTCATCCTCATTCCTTCTCGCCACTTTCACCTGCCTGCATATATGCTAGGTCTCTTCTGCATTCCACAATCTTTTAGGTGACAAACCCGGAGAACGCACATCACGGCCAACATGGGGCGCACGAAAGAAACGGTGCCTCCGCACCTCGAGGAAATGCCCTACGCTAAGGAACCCCTCAAGACGGCATACGTCGTGCAGCGGCTTCTCACAACGTTGCTGCTCGTACCCTGGTGGGCAATGTACTACACCGTCCAACCCCGCCGCAAACCCCGAGAGAGCTGGGGCATCAAGCAGGTCATCTCTGTCAAGTTCACTAGGCGGGTTTATCGAGTAACGGAACTCGCGGGGGTCACTTGGGGCACACGCAACCCTGAGAAGGCATGCAAAGACCGGGAGCTGAAGGAAACGAGGTTCGAATGGGCCGACCTGCTGCCTGAGCAGTTCAGATCGGGCATCATAGTCGATGACGAGGTGCCCTTCAAGCGAGTTGGGGCGTTTGTTTGGCCAAGGGAGATGCCCAAAGGTGCGTTCCTCCCCTTTATAGGCAGGGAGGAACATCTAATTACCTACTTCCTGGCTGACGCAGAACTCAACCAAGAGCCCAAGCGAGAGCCCAAACAAGATACACACATAGATCTAGAGGCTGGTGGAAAACAACACATCGTTGCAATATTTTTGCATGGTGGAGGCTATTGTCACATGTCCGCACACGAGAAGTCCAGCACTTCCAAGATACCCAGGAGATTAGTAAAAGTGAGCTGGCGCTCACTTCAACTGTCCCTATACCCTGCGATGCTCACCCAATATCCAGGATAAGGCTTTCGACGAGATATATGGTACGTGCACCCGCCCATTCTGTGTTTTGCCGGCCGTGACCTCTTGTAGCCGTCGAATATAGATTATTACAACACGCCCCCTTCCCCGCGGCTGTACAAGACGCTGCAGCGGTTTATGCTCATGTCTTGCGCAAATACCAATGCTTGCCAGACCTGGATGAATTGTCGCGCCACCACAGACCATTCATAAGTCGCCGTGGCAGACTACATCCCAACGACGCTTACCTGGAACCATGGGGAAACAGCCGGGCTGAGCTGCTTGGGACCCCGAATTTAGTTAACACTTATCTTAAGAAGTCATGTAAGGTTGTGCTCATTGGTGACAGCGCTGGAGGCAACCTGGTCTTAGCTCTCGCGCGGTGGATCAGAGACGAGGGAAAGCTACCGCCCCCAGATGGTCTCCTATTACTTTCTCCTTCGTGCGACCCATGTGAGCGCCCTTCCGATTTACGAGCCAGTATCCACTCTGATAAATCCTGACCACACAGCACATGCTTTTCCTGATACCCCTTCTTCCTACATACCACGTCCACACGAATCGACCGACTATCTCGTTGACACACCCGAACCCCGTGCTCTCCTGCAACGCACCTTCCTGGGCCACCACCCGCTCGAGATGATGCACAGCCCATACGTGAGCCCGGCGTCGCACCGCGTGCTGCGCACCTTCTACGGTGAAGTCTTCGCCACGAGCGTGCAGGACCTGACGATCGACGCGCTCACTGGAGACTTCATGGACAAGCTCCGCACCATCGCGAGCGTACCCCCGAGCCCGGACCCCGGTACCGTCCTGGGCCCTGGCATGCCGACGCCCGTCACGCCCGGCATGGAGCTCAGCCCGTCGCTCTCGCATCCCGTTATTGCGTCCCCGCGCGGCCTGAGCCTGTTCTCCGAGTTCCCGCGGACATGTGTCGTGCTCGGCGACGCCGAGCGCCTCGAGCGGGAGGTCATGAAGCTCATCGGCGCGATGGAGAGTGACGGCGTCCGCGTACACACGATCAGGGTGCGGGACGCCCCGCACGACGTGCTCATGATGGGTTGGTGGGACGAGAAGGTAAGGGATGAGACGTGGCAGAGCGTTGGGCGCTGGGTCGCCGAACTTGCGACATCGCGATAAACGATGTGGACTTTAGTGTTTTGTTCCATGTATTATAATCATACTGTCTGTTCTTGGACCTTGTATATATGTTTAGCAGCCTAGAACCCAAAAATGCATCTTTGCATGAGGGTAGTATTCTACACAATGCAGCAGGGATTAGTTAAACATATTGTGCGAAGTGTAAGATCTCGAGAGGCGAAAAGCATATACATAGCTAGGATGTGTAGGTAACGCAGGCGGAGACCAAGGGTAGGAAGACAAAAATCCACCGAGACCAGGGAGCAGAAGTCCATGTGGGCAGTTTACACGCGAATAACAAATGAAATATAAGGCTCACTAAAGAAGTTAATGAGCCATGTCGGATTGACAAGACATGCAGCTCGGAGATCGCTCTGCTACCAACTAAGCACCCACAACATCGTCAGCAGCGACGCCACGAACGCAGACAATGTAACTTCTACCCTTCCATCAGCAGCGCTCACCGCGCCCGTGACCGCCACGAACCCACTCCCACATGCCTCGTTCGCCAGCTTCGCCGCGCCGTCATACACCTCGTTAAGTGCCGTCAGGTTCTGCCACAGCGAGTACATGCTCATGACGCTCTTCGTGCACGCAGAACAGCTCGGCACCGTGCTATTGGGGAGGGAGATGCCAAAGGGTAGCGTGTAAAAGTAGAGATCAGACGGGCTGTCCTGCTGCACGGCTTCGATGTAGCAGTACGCGTTCGTCGACTGGTCCGGGAGGCATGCGACGTTGCGCATGAGGGTGTACGCAAGCAAACCTGGAGTGGGCTCATGATAAATAAGAGAAGAGAATGAACACAGCGGGATAACGCGCACCAGCTTGTGTCTGCGTGACGATGGCGTTCTGTGCTTTGAGGTCCTCCTCGCAGACATCCTGCAAGTTATCAGCGAACCAGCCCATGTTCGAGACGCATTGCTCGAAATCGGTGTCGGTGTTGCAGGTACCCCATATAATGTCGTTCAGTACGGTAATATTCTCCTGAGCCTGTTGGTAAAAAACTTTACATAAGATATCTCACGAAGTAGACGGGCCGCAGCCACTGTTGAAAGAGTAGCGAACCTGCACAAATCCGGCTGACTGAACTAACAGTAAAGAAAAAGGTCGACACGAACTGAGGGCGGTTGACTGCTGGGTCATGTTGATGAAGAAGTCGTAACATTGTTCCGTGGTGAAATTCCTCGACAGAGTCGAATCTAGCGGTTGCGGGAACGGCGTGGGCAGGACTGGCGGTGCAGAGGGGATGGTAGGCAGAGCCTGGTCGGCACTGCTTCCTGCCGTGGGCGTTGGCGAGGTTGACAGTATCACAGACGATTCGGAAGAGGTGGGCACCGGGAGGACAATCGTCACTGGCCCGGTCTCTCCACTGCCCTGAGGCATGGGGTCAGGACTTGCATGCCGCTTGTGCGGTCGCCAGTCCAGCAGAGATGACGACCATGTCTGCCAGTCCATCGAGTCTTGATCGGCAGAGAAGGCGTCGAGGATGACCGGATGGGATATGTATCGTGTCGAAGCCGTAATAAGCACCAGAACTAGTGGTACTAAGAGGATGGTCCAGCGGATACGGCGACCTGTTCGCTGTTTCGCAGCCTCGGAGGATGCGAATTGCACCACCACGCCACACTGGCTGTGCTTAGGTTCCGGAGGGGGAACGGGCGTACAGCGCAATGAAAAAGGTCGTGGCACCAAGAGGTACTGGGAACCCTCCGTGTCATCTGAATCATCTGAAAGTGGTGATTCCTCGCGTGCTATCTGTGGCGGGGCTGGGGATGCGGGCGGGGTGAACATTTTACTGACAACGAAGCGACCTAGATGTTGGCAGCGGCACTTCGCGACAATCTTGGGTGCACCGGTAGATTCTCTCTGGACTACGGTCAAGGAAGGGAGGTCGTAACGAACGTGGGGAATGAACAGATGTTCAGACGGGCTAGATGACTGCTTGTAACCTCGGGAGAATCGAGAAACCTGCGCAGAATCTTGGTGAACGTGATGAGTAGATGGTTGAGATGCCCTTGTTCGCGGTGGGCTACGAGAGGTTGGAGACTCACCTCTACCACTCGAACCAAATGAACGTAGGAGGGGAAAGGAGAGAAAGTGCGCGCTGAGACCGGCGTCGTGGAGGGTGAATTAAGAACACTGCCAAGGGTGAGAGGACGCTTGGTTGTCAGAGGTGTATCAAAACTTGGTATGCATCCAGACGTTCCTTCCTCTTCCGGACGACCACAGTCTAGGCCTGCTTCCAAACTTGCCTTTTCAAGCCGTTGTGCCTGAGCCCGACCCCCGCCAATCACCGAGCGTCATAAAGCGTCATGGGCCCGCCTCCTCCCCCGCCCCATTCCCTTGGTGCTTCAAGCGGTCTCCCGCCCCGGACATCCAGCCCATGTCTTTTACTTGCTTGGAGGCTCTTGAATACTATATGTGCAACGATTCTGCACTCACGTTCATCTCTACGACCTGTTCAGATGTTTGCTTAATCCTCCCCGTAGCGCTAACATCAACGTCAAGTCAAAGTTGAATGACGGCGCACTTTGGATACACCGCGCTATGGTCGGAGGTGACTACAGATATGCGTTAAGGCCGAATGCTGACTACCACTGACTGACATCATCAAGATACAACGCAACAGTGCTAACTCGCAGGGTACTGGTCGTGTTCGTACAGCTCGCGACGCTGCAATATCACCGCCTTCCCGGCCTTTGCAAATGACGCCGCACGGATTGTGCGCAGCCAAATGTCTAAGTGTGAGAGGAATTGAGATCTTGAGAATGTATCCACTTGCCTTTTCTTGTAACAGATCTCCCAGACGTCGGGAAGTGCGCAGCAAATCGTCAGATATACGTCCGCTGCAGTGGGTATTTCTACGATCAGTTTGAGCGAATGCTGACCCGATTCTGATGCTCTGGATGACGTCTCTCGCAAACAAAGAATATCGTTAACGAGATTGCAATGTAGAAACGGTCTCCAACGATACACGAATGGCGAGTCGATATGGCCTTATCACGATGTGGGGGACTGGCAGCTCTACCAACTAATGCCGCTAACTCACAGTCCGAGGAGGCCGTTCAGCACACTGTCTCACGATCGGTGTCCCGCAGCTGCACAGCACAACGAGGAACTTCCTGAAACGGTTAATCGGCAGAAGCCGGGGTCGAAGTTACACACGCTAGCAGTGCAACCGAGACGGGCATCGTGATTGATCCTACGCTCCAGTGGCTCTTTACTCTCCCCTTCGAGGTAGCTGGTCTGTCTCACACACTGTTCCTTATATTTAATCCACTTGCTTTGGTCGAGTTTTGCACACTTCCACTCTACGTTACTTACCTCATTACAACCGCTATCATGCCCCAACTTCGCTTCCTAGCTGGTCCATCCCTCAATGACTTGTCGCCTCTCGAGGTTAACTCGGACGTCCCACTACACATCAAGTCCTCCGGCTTCGAAGGGCAGGTTGCATTGTATCTAAAGGGATTGGGCGACGAGGGACGAACACACAGTCCCTACTTTGATCACCAAGACCGCAAAGGGATCACATGGAGTATACAGATTCAAGGTTTGTTTCTACTGCCACATTCCTTCCATCCATTGCCTCAACATATTTCCAGGTCGCTTCTTGCAAACGCACTCCGCAGACGACATTATCTTTGGCAACGTCTTCGACAGACCGCTTAAGCTTCCTTGGGGCTTCGGTACGGCATTAAAGTTTATGAAGTAGACCCGCTCTGTCACTCGTTAACGTGGACTTGTGGCTAACCCAGATCGCAGATATGTTGACCCCACCTTGCAAGAAGACCTCGCGTCGAAGTCAAGACCGTGGGCCATGTCGCCGTTCATTGCCACCATGCCACACATACACCACTCTCGGTTAGATGATGGCGACGAGCCGCCACAGTTCCCCGCGCCGTACAAGCCCATCGTAGAGAACATGACACGGATTCGGACGAGATGTGGTACTGCGAGACGGCTTGAAGTAACACCTCCGTCGCACAGAAAACAGCGGAAAGCTCATTTCAAGGATTCCGATGTACGCCGGGATGTCGTCTTCGGTCCGAACGTACGTGGAAGTCCTTCTCGGTCGTGTACCACCTCATGCTGACCATCCTTCAGGACCTCATATCGGCGGACTTTTGCCATCATTATCTGGACTTCAGTTCGGAGAGCATCATTCTGCGTCTGCCATGTGGCCTTTCGATGGACCTGCTCAAGTACTGGGACGGGCAACCCGTTCGCTTTGTCTGCTGCGAGCGAGCAAAAGGCAAAGGCGCGGACAAGGCGCCTTGGGGAAAGGTCCTTTTCTGCATCGCCATGGAGAAGGCAGAGGACAGTGACACGGAGAAGCCGGCTGTGCCGTACCGTTTTTGATATTTCTCATTCATACCCATAGCTGTATCACCTCTCGAACGATCACCATTCCTGTCTTTGCGTATTCATAGCATTTATCTAGCACTAGGACAGTTGCATGTACTGAAACGGACACGATCTTAATGTAGCATAAAGCTATGCTATCCTTGGGTCTAAAAAAACCTGACTTCAACGTCTCTGGCCGCCTCAGCTTATTGATTTGACGTGTGCAACGGTTGGTATTGTCTTGATAAGTGCGCGGGAGCTTACCATCAGATTCAAGCTAGCGAAGGCACTTGGACTGTGGACTGTCTCCACTGTTAGTATTGTCATTGCTGATTACAAAATATCGATATCACATCGAACGCCCAGCCTGCGAGCTATCGCTCTTTATTCGTCCTGTTACCACCCACGTAGTACGCAACTTGAGGCAGGCCTCATGCATGAGGCCTACCTTAGAATTTAATCTACTCCGTGCTCTCGAGTGTGTCTCTTTGCTCACCCATGCCTTCTAGGCCACTACCTTGAAGTTAGTCGCCGTCCGTGTATGAACCATGTGCTTAGATGCCTCAAAAGGGATTCATTAATACGTCTTCTTACCTAGAAGGCTGCGGACTGGTTATAGACTACTCCTGAGGCCTGAACTTGTGAGCGACTCCAATTGTTGCGGTCCGTAGTTCCGATACTGGGGTTCGTCATTTAGCTGCGAAAGAACCTCTCTATGACACCGTATGTGTTCACAACTTCTCCACGTGTAACTAACTTTAAATAGCTTGGAGATCTCTTTGTCTCTCCAGAACACAGAAACTACGGTGTCGGCGAGGCCTTCTTTGGGGAGATTGCCAAGCTGACTGAAGAGAAGTTAGACGAGGCAAGGGTGCAGTCATACGGTGTACTTAGCATTTAGAGCTCACTGCTAGGACATGTGTGACATACTAACAGAGATTCTACCCGGGGACTCTACCGCCGTTTCAGTGGAAGCAGCCATCCGTCGGCTTCTATGTGAAAGGGCTCGGCGCATTCACTCTGGCTGAATGAATACTAACGAGGTTAGAGGATGAAGGTATTGCCAACTTGAAGTTCATCCTACAGTAGTGTGGGCGTTGGAGGTCTGTATCGCAAGCCACTACTAGAGCGCGAGATCACCGGCGACCACACAGGTACAACCGCTGTCCCATTGCCTGTCTGTGCTTGTTTTGAGTAAACTACGACGAGCACCTCCTGCAGGGGTAGGATAGCCCTGCTGAGTCTCTAGCAGCAGGGAATTTATAGTTCGTACGCTTGGCAGCCCCTCTGGCCAAGAGAGAAGGAATCGTGGCGTAGTAGGCGCTTCCTCGCAGCGAAGCTGGAATTGGCCGTTGACGTCAACGTTCGCATTCGCAGCCTTCGAACACAAACCACCAGCCCATCATGAGTAACGCACCGCTTGGTGAAGAACCACCACTACAACGAGCATGCCACGCCTACGTATTTTGGTCGGATCGTCGCCTGGTGACTTGAAACCTGTCCGCGCAAACACGGGCGAAGCCGTCCATATCTCCAACGACGCATTTGAGGGAGACATCGCCCTGTATATCAAGAACTTTGCGGATCAGAACGGACACGTACAGGATAGTACGTACTTCAAGCAACGTCCGAATGTGACATGGAGTATCCAGGTACAGGGTGAGTGCATGGATATGTGCCATGAGTGTCTAAGAGGTGCCCTGATGGACTACTAGGCCGTTTCTTGCGGGAACTTTCTGCAAATGACATCCTGTTTGGCAACATCTTTGACAGACCCCTGGCGATACCATGGGGCTTCAGTGCCATCCTCGCTTTTATGCAGTACGCCTTACATGCCCGCGCGTCGGGAATTGCACTAACAGCGTTCAACCACAGATACATGGATCCCACCCTCGAGCAAGACCTGCAATCGAAGACCAAGCCGTGGGCACTCGCACCCCTTATTTCTACCATGCCATACTTTGCGCACATGCGCGCAGACGAGTTGCACAAAGTACCTCCGTTTCCGCCCCTTAGCCCTGTTCAGGACGACACCAAGGAACTCCGGCTAAAGAGCGGCGGGCAGCCTGAGCATCTTCCCGCTGACAACAACCCGGAAAGTAGGCGGGCGTACTTTAGGGATCCCGAGAACAGGAAAGCTGTAGTGTTCGGACCAAACGTGTGTCTTTCCGGTGCTTGTGGCGTTCTCACATCTCACCTCATCCAATAGGATATCATTACAACCGACTTCTGCTATGACTATCTCTCTTTCAGTCCAAGCGGTGTCACGCTACAGCTGCCTGCTGGCATGACCTTCGACATGATGAGATACTGGGACGGCCAGCCAGTTCATTTTGTCTGCTGCGAACGCGCTCCTGCAGAGCAAGAATCTGGACAACCTCTGGGGAAGATTTTCTGGTGTGTCGGGATAGAGGTCCTAGAAGGCGAAGAGGAAGAAAGCGAGAAGCAGCAGAATGATACGGGCCAACAGGTGAATAACGACGATGTTGATTAAAAGAACGCATGAATTTAATGTAAGTGCGCTTTGTGCGTAATTAAATATACTCCGAGAGATGCATGCGCTGATTGAGATACAGGGTGACTATAGCCAATGACTAGGGCATAAAGTAGAACGTGATCTCGTCGCATTGAACAGCTGAGCACCTCCAGGCCAGTCTCGATTCATTGCGTGTGAGGACAGATATTGGGTATGCCTCGTTTCGGGACCGTCGAGCGGTCTACCGCTCATCCAGAAGCTTCACCTCCGTTATATCTCATCCTAACTAGAAAGGAAGCAGGGACGGGCCATTGAGCATAATCCATTATGATCTACTTCCACCGAGTTCACCCCGAATTGTGACCGCCTTCATATGCCACTGCACCTGCGGTGGACCGCCGGCGACACCACTTAGGTGCACCGTGCAGCATGGGGTCCTCACTACGCCTTGTGGTTCTTGGCTGCATACTGCTCACTGCCCTACGGGTCGTGGCAGCTACCCCCACACCTGCAGCAAACGAGCTTCTGGTTCAGACCACCTCGGGCCTCGTGCAGGGTTTTCTTGACGTCAATACCACCGACGTGCCGCTGAAGAAGTGGTTGGGTGTGCCGTACGCGGATGACACCTCGGGTGCTAACCGATGGCGGCCGCCCCAGCCGGTCAATGTTGAGGATGGGCAGGTCATCAATGCGACTGCATATGGGCCCGCTTGCATGCAAGGCCGTGCATACGGCGGAAATGGGACCTCAGTCCAAAGCGAAGACTGCCTTCTGATCAACATTATCGCGCCTGCCAACGCATCTAACCTGCCGGTCTATATCTACGTCTAGTGAGCATTACACAAGCAAAGCGTCTCGAGGACTTACAGTAAACGCGTGCTTTCAGCGGCGGAGGATACGACAGCGGTTCAGCTTCAGACCCAAAGGTTGACGGATCGTACTTGGCCGCGAAGGTACGTAAACCAAGCGGACGATTATTTGCACCTAGAGAACTGAGTATCTGATATAGGGAATTGTGTTCGCGAACTTCGGCTACCGTCTGTCACTCTGGGCGTTCCCACATGCCGCTGAGATCGCCGAGGCGGGCGAGACACAGAACTTTGGCCTGCTCGACACGCGTGCGGCCGTCGAGTGGCTAAGGGACAACGTCCAGCAATTTGGAGGCGATCCTACTAAGATTACATTAGGCGGTAAGCTTGCTCGCTACTTGGGCAGATTCAACTATGTTCGATAACGTTTGCAATGTTGTACAGGAGAATCAGTAGGTGCAGGTGAGTGCGTTGAAGGCATACAAGTTGACCTGTCGTTCAACATCTTTACAGAGATGACAAATCAATACATGACGGCGTTCCATGATGACCCGATTGTTCGAGCTGCCGTTATGCAGAGCGCTGACAGTAAGACACTATAGCTCCCCGGTACTTACTTGTACTTGACTGAACAATCTCCAAAGCTTCCCAGCCGATGTGGGAACTGGACAATCAGATCAGCCAGATCGCTTCAGATATGAGCTGCCCCACGGGAAAGGGACTGTTGGACTGTTTGCGTACGAAGTCGGCTACGGATCTGCAGCAGGTCCTTCTGGCGAGTGGTACTCAATTCCAGCCTGTCACAGATAATATTACCATTTGGAAGGAGTGAGTGCTATCGTATGGTTGAGGACCCACAATGCTTAGCGAAGGGACTGTAGCTACGTCAAGCTGACACGGGAGGGCCGTACGGCGCAAATCCCCCTTCTGTGTGGAACAAACCTGGTAAATCGCCGTCGTGTGTGGGCATCCGGACGTCCGTAACATGACTTTGGCAGAACGAAGGGACGCTCATAGTCGAAAGTGAGCCGACGGCCTATCTGCCAAACATAGTCCAGTATAGGTGAGGCCGTACCGTCCCGATCAGCGTGTGCAGCACAATGCTTATGGCATAAATCAGCAAGAGCAACAACTTCAATATGCCTTGGGCGAACCTTACAAGAATGGAGGAGCTGTATCCTGTGCCTTCAGAGGCTTTCCCTACTGCGTATAATGCGTCCTCTCAGATATGGCGAGACGCGCACATGCAGTGTCTGGCCCACAACTTGGCTACCGAACGGACGCGCGTTCTAAACCAGCCCGTGTGGCGCTATCGATTCGACTTGGTCGCAGCCAACCTCAATTCTGAGGGTGTCAGAGTCGGTACTTTCCACGGTTCAGACGTCCGCTTCGTCATGGGCCAATGGAGGCTAATCGCTATTGATGCTCCGTTCATTCCTGCTACACCTAACGAGATTGCTATCTCCAACTTAATGGTGGAAGCGTGGACGAACTTTATCAAAGGTAGGTGGTATCCTTCACCTAGCTGCCAGGTCTGCTAAAACCTTCGTCACCTGGCTACAGATCCGCTTAAAGGACCTCAGATACCTGGGTGGAAACAGTACGACCCAGAAGACCCAACAACGCTCGCGCTTCTTGGATATGATTTGACGGGCGCAGACCTTGGTGACCATTTCACTGCGGATTCCACTTGCGATTTCTGGAATGAAGTACTCCCAATTTTCCCGCAGGTGAGTTTCAACGCACTAAACGAGGACAAGCAACTCAGTTAGAGGAAAGACGTTCCCAGCATGCGGTAGCTGGACGTGTTGAAGACGGGTGATATGCTACGCTTTGTCATTTGCGGTAGTCCCGGCCTTCAGCTTGGTTGCAGATAAGGAGCTTATCCGCCTCGTCCATAACGAAGACGGGACATTCGCTGAGGTCTGCCACGCTCTTGCCTACGAGATCGAGAATGCGGCCCGGTGTGCCAACGAGTACGTGTACGATCTCTGACAACCGGATGATATCGTCCTTGAGTGTTGTTCCGCCAGTCGTGACCATGACCTGCAAGTCCATATGCTTGCCAAGGATCTTGCATACCTGGGCGGTCTGGAGGGCAAGTTCACGTGTGGGTACAAGCAGCAAAGCCTGGATCTTGTTCTTGTTGATGTCAATCTGCTGCAAAGAAGGTATCACGAAAGCAGCGGTCTTGCCAGTACCGTTCTTAGCACGAGCAAGAATGTCACGCTTGGTGAGGGCGATGGGTATCGCCTCTTCTTGGATGGGAGAGGGTCGTTCGAAGCCAGCCTCGAAGATGCCCATCAAGAGCTCGCGCCGTATGTGCATGTCCTCGAATTCTATACCCTTTGTAGCAGTGACGTCCTCGGTTTGAGGCCGCGTATCTTTCGGTGGAGGCTGGAGGCTGGCTTTCCATGATTCGGCGCCGCTGTATACATGTCAGTAATGTTCTGAAGTATATTGTGTGTTAAAACGCACGACGTGGATGATGAGGGGCGAGCTTGTTGGGTCATGGTTGAGCAAAGCGTGAATCAGTGAGATGTGTGCGCTTGGCTGGAGGGTTGGGGTTGCGTGGGGTTTAAAAATCGTTTCAACGGTGGTCACAGGAATTCTTTGATTTTGGGTGTGTGGGTCAAGCGAGGAAGGGCGGGATTGCTCCGTAGAGAAGGCGATGGAGGAGCAACGAGTCGTTGTGTCGTGTTAGTCGAGAGCAGGAGGTCAAGTCAAGATCAGTCCAATTGTTCAGTGATCACTTTCTTGCCCAAATATGGTATTTTGTCTCCCAATTTGCCCAAGATTTACCGCATTTGCAAATTATGCATGATAGCAACGTCACGCATCACACATTTGAACCGCTCCTTATCTGCCTCAATGTCGTGCGTCGCTAGTTCGCGCAAGTTGTCACTCGCGCCGCCTATTCCCTCCGGTTTCTTATTGAGCACTAGGTCACAAGTCGCACACGACCGGTTGCTTGTTATAAAGAGTCACGCTCCGCTTTCAGCTGCTATTATACACTCGGTGACAGTACTATGTGCGGCTCCCCCGAATTCTCTCCCGTCATGGAGCAGCTGCTAAGCTACATGCCTAAGGATCGACAAGTTATGCTCTTCAGCGCAACCTTCCCAATGATTGTCAAAGATTTCAAGGTATGACGGTTACTCACTTTTTCCTCTCCCCATGTTCACCGTCTTCTAGGACAAGCACATGGACTCTCCATACGAAATTAACCTTATGGACGAACTCACGCTTCTTGGTGTAACACAATATTACGCATACGTAGAGGAGAGGCAGAAGGTGCACTGTCTCAACACCCTTTTTTCTAAGGTAAAGTCTCTCCGTGTTCCAGATCTTAGCTCTCGTCTGAAGATTTTTCAGCTCCAAATCAACCAATCGATTATATTTTGCAACTCGACCAACCGTGTGGAGCTTCTCGCAAAGAAGGTCACCGAACTCGGATACTCATGTTTCTACTCGCATGCTAAGATGCTTCAGTCGCACCGTAACCGCGTCTTCCACGACTTCCGCAAGGGTGTCTGCCGCAATCTTGTCTGTTCCGACCTCCTTACTCGCGGCATAGATATTCAGGCAGTCAACGTTGTCATCAACTTCGATTTACCTAAGAACTCAGAGACGTACCTTCACCGTATAGGTCGTTCCGGCCGTTTTGGTCACTTGGGCTTAGCGATCAACCTCGTCACATACGAGGATCGTTTCAACCTTTACCGTATCGAGCAGGAACTCGGGACCGAGATCCAGCCTATCCCCCAGCAAATCGACAAAGGCCTCTATGTTGCGCCAAGCGCCATCAATGACGCTGAACAACAACAACAGCAGCAGCAGAAGGCGAAGCAACCGCAGCAGCAACAGCAGCAGCCACAGCCCACCTCAACGCAGCCCCAAATCCAGCAGAGGCAGGCAACTCCGGGACAGTCCCCCGCGCCACAGGTTGTATATCAAAGTGCCGCGCCTCAGGGACGCCCGAACGGCAACCATGTTCCCCCTCAGCAAGTACGGACAGGTTACCCGCAACCGCAGCCTCAGCCGCAACCCAAACCGCAACCCGCTTACCGAGGTGGTGTACCCGTCGCACGATAGACGGAAATTTTCGATGAGGCCGAGGGAAGGAGAGTGTGGAGGTTGAGGAGGCGGATGTGAGAGGTGGTAGTTGTTGGTGAGGATAAAGAAGTCAAGAAGAACCATCTGGATTGCAGACTATCATGCCGACCGTTACGGTACCATTTCAACACTCGAGGGACCTCTTTTGTACCATATTCGTCCGGCCTGCTGGACGCCCACCGCCCCCAGCCGCCCACCGTCACCACCACACCTGTTTGGCGGGGCCTTTTAATGTTGCGAACTGCGGACGTCGTCTTCATCTCGCTCTGTTGTGTTTCCGCTCCTTCCGCTGCTGCACGTGTTTGAGTATATCTATCGCTATACCTCGTTTACTGGGCCTTATTCTTTTTCGCGCCCTTGATTTGTTGTACTGGTACGGGTACTGTCTGCAGATGTCATCGCAATCCATGGTTACTTGGCTGAATGATCGGTTCGCCATCTGTGGCTGTGCAGCAGCTTTGCGGGTGCGCAGGAAAGCGCGACGAGAAGCGCGATGGGCAAAAAAAACATCATGTTGTACGCAATACTATATCCGCGCGGTCGGGGTGGACCGCCTACGTCCACGACCATCCGCCGTCTGCATGCTCCCACCTTACCTTACGTCTGAACACAACTGCCGGTTTCCGTCTCTAATTTCAGACCACAATCCTTTTACGAGTCTTGTGCACGATAGCTATTACAGGCTCTACGAGGACCCCTGCGCTTACCCGTGCCTTCGGCACAAAAATGTTGAGAGGAGAGAAGACAAGGCTACCTCTGTGAGTAATCGACTTTGTGTGCAGATATCCGATCCGTGGATCCGCAAAGGACCTACTTTGTGGTGGTACGCGACCCGCAGCTTCTGACACGTTGATCCTCCAACAGATGGCGAGCGCGACGTCTCTCCCACTCCGCGGCCTACTACAGCCGGCCTCTGAGGAGATATTATACCCGTCTAGACTGCAAGATACTAGTCCTATTAATCCTAATCTCCCTTTACGTGTTCTTCTCCCTGTGGCAACCCCATGTCGAGGTCACCCTCTACTCGCGACGCTGGATACGGAACGAGGTGGAGGTTCTGCAGCCGCTCTCGGGATGTTTCGACGAGCACCGGGTCTCGCACAAGTACAATGTCTCGCAGGCGGTTTATGGCGCGAAGAGGATGGAGATACACGCAGGGATACCCATGCGCCTCGGCATGGACTGCTACAACTTTGCTGGTACAATCAAGTCCACTCAGGACGTGTCACACCAATGGATACCACCAGACGAACGCATCCAGTACCACACTTACTGGCGAGATGACCTCGCACATTTCGGCGAGCGGCAGGAATGGATGATCAAGTCGTTTTTTGCTACGCAGAATACCGACACCTCACGTCTCATACTATGGTCGAACGGCGATCTCAGCCAAAACAAGATCGTGCAAAAGTGGATCCGCCGGTATCCTGACTCGTTTACGGTGAAGCTGGTGGAGCTGGGCAAGCTAGCGAAGGGCACAGAGCTGCAGGGGAGTAAGCTGCTGCAGCTGAAGGATAAAAAGGCGTGGATCGATGGAGACATGGTTAGGCTGCTGGTGTTGTGGGCGTACGGAGGAGTTTGGGTGGACATGGACTCGTTGCTGACACGAGACATTGCGCCTTTGCTCGAGCACGAGTTTGTGACTCAGTGGGATTGCTACGGTGCGTCGGATAGGTCGTTCCCTCTAGTTCATCTACTCATCGTATATCTCTTCACAGACAAGGTCTATATACCTTTCAACGGCGCCCTGATGAACTTCCACCAACACTCTCCTTATCTATGCGAAGCCTTCCACATCATGGCCAACGGCCCCACACCTCGAACGGGCACGACCGACTGGGGAGCTACATTATATCTCAAGTTGTGGAGAAGACTGATTGAAGCAGAGATTCCGCCATTCAAGGTTCTCCCGTTCTGTCTCTCCGACGGCCGCTCTTGTCGACTAGACAACCGGCTACCAGACCCATTCGTGCCAGACCCATCAAACGGTCGATGGACGATGGGCATGACGCGGGAAGAAGGTGGTGGGCTGGACAGAGTGCTCGGGAAGGTATTCTCTGTGCACTTGCACAACCAGTGGGAGAAGGCGTTCCCGAAGGGCGGCTGGGTCGAGAGATTACTCCTGCGCCGGTACGAGGAGAAGCTGAGGCGAATAAAACCGAGGAACGGTGGAACAGACACATAGTATTTCTCGACTCCGTAACCTGAGCGAAGCCATTAACGGCGTACTGTACTGTAATGCTTAATTCCACGGACCACGCCATCCAAGAGTTATATACCTCCCAATATTTTACTTCTTTCAAGATATGGACTTGTGCCGCCCTTCCTAAGCCCATGTCTGGACAATCGCAAGCCGGACAAGTATTAGCATTATTATCAACCACGATACGAAATGTCCAAAGGTGACTGGATTTGAATGTCACTATGTGCTACCCAGTGAAAATGAGGCGGTCGTACGACTGAACGTCTGCAACCAATAGAGTCGTGCGAATCTGCTCGTCGGGTCGCCGCGAAGAAACGAGATAGACCCTAACGATCATAATGCTCCCGTGTCCCTTCCCTCTTCTCCTCCTTCTTCTCAACCTTGTATGAGTCTGCGAAAGGGATAAAAGGCCTATCGATGAACTCAGGCAGCTGTTTATGCCGCCCAGAAATCAGAGACTGGGAGCTGCGACTCTCAGGACGCTGTTCCGACTTGCTCGCTGGTGCGAATTCAGCAGGGCAACCTCGACGGCTGTGTGAGAGCTCACCTGGAACGATGACTTTGACTCCCTTCTCTCGCGGGGTCGCAGGAGCCTCAACATAAATTGAGTCCGAGGGTTTATCCACTTTGTCCACGTACTCTGTCGCTGAAGGGGCGACCTCTGGCGGAGCGGGTTTCGGCACGCGGGTGGCGAGTAGACGGGAGAAGTTCGAGCTCAACCGCCTTAGCATGGAAGGTCGAGGCTCCGGGTCAAAGCTGTCGGGCTGCCTCCTGTACATCCGGTTGCGGAGCTCTGTCATCGGGCTTTCGCTCCTGGGATGCTCGACGAAGTGTACGCGTTCTTCCCTTTCGTCATCCGGAACACACGCCCACGTGATCGGGATCCTACCTCGCTCTGGAATGCTGGGCACAACGGTCCTCAGCAGTCTGCAGGAGAAGTAAGCCTCCGTGACATGAGAGGAAAGCGATGAAAGCGTACGACACAATCTCTGCGTGTTCCTCCTCCCAGAACCTGCCAAGCGACACTGGCTGATCAAGATCGAAAGAGTACTCGAAGTGCGGCAGCAGATACACGCCTGACTGCTCTTCCTTGCGCCATGGCGCTGGCTGCTCCTCTGACGATTTCACCGGCTGCGTCGCTGGGTCTACCGTCCTCTTGACAAAGCACCTTCGGCATTCGAATGCGAAAGCGTGATCAGGTCTGTACTCGCTAGCCCTCGAAAGCGTGCGATATAGCTGTCTCCACTGTTCGCTGTCTTGCATAAAGAGATTTGGTGCGGCTCGAGGAAGTTCGCAGAGACGTGTGCGTATGCGGGCGTGAACGCTCTGCAGCAGGTACGTCGGCTTGAGAGAACTGGGTGGGAAGGTGGTTTTGATGGCCTCAGCAAGCTCCTTATCCGCAATACTCGGCACAGCTCCGTTCCCTGCGGGGCGATGTTTTTTGTTGTATTCTTCTTGTGATACTTTCGATGGGCTGATTTCATGGAGGATGTATAGTTCGCACAGGTGCCAGGGCTTTTCGACGCTTGGTTCTTCGAGGAACTATCAGGTAGCTCGCATCACACATGAGAATATACCGCGAACGCAGAACGCACATGAGAGAATATCGCTTGGTATTTTCTTGTCGAGATTGCGGAAAAGTCTGAGTCCAGCTGAGGACTGCTGAAGTGCTTCGCCATCGCTACCGGGGAAAGCTGAAGGATTATGTGCTCTTTCTGGACGGGCAGAGGCCAGTCGACGCCGATGGGGTCGAAGTAGACCATAGTTATTGGGGAAGGTTGGGACAGCTAGCCGCAAGCAGAAATACGCCTAATGCGAGACAAAGTGTTAGTGCGCCGCCGGGAGCGTGCAGGAGTCAAACCGCCACATACCTGGGGTGTGGTTGTGCGTGAGAAATAGGTGCAAAGGATGTTCGGTATTTGTATCATACCCGGGAGGCACACGTGCTGATTGAAGCTTCATGGAATGCTCCCTCGAGGCTGAGCGCAACGGATCCATCACACAAGAACAAGAGAATCTAGCGACAAGCCTGTGAGAGCAGCACAGGTAGCGCCGAGCTCTTTGTTTCTGGCGCCTCGACAGTATTTGCGTTTAATATCTTTGTACGGATCGCGTCTTGAGCTTCGAGCACCGGCAGAACCGACATGCAGGGCATTAGCTTTATGTTGACCAGGATGTGGAAAGATAGTTGATGCACGAGCGATCGTGACTTACCAACGGCCCTCGATTAATACTTGGCCACCATGTGTACCCCGAGCCGCATATTGCACAGCCTCCGAAAGCTGATATGCCTGCGCGAATTATGATGCGCCCGGAAATCCAACATAGCGACGTGTATCAATCGCGTGGGGTGTTCGTTATTCCACGATGTGCAGGTCATCGAGTACACACTGCTCACTGAACAAAGTGTAACAAAAGCTCCCTATATTTCGGTGCATATACCGCCATCAAATTACATAATAGACGCCTAGAGACCACCGGTTTCTCGCTTTGCACACCACCTCGTCTTCTGCGTACCTTCTTCACAGCATACGTACGGCCGCTTATACGCGTGGGCATTATGTTGCGGCTTAGCTCTCTTGTGCGCACTACCCCGCTCTCAGCCCGCTCGGCGCGTTGGTTCTCGAGGACCGCTATCAACCTCAAGGATCCGTGGCTGCTCCCGCACACGCCTGAGCATCTCGCCTCAACCACCTCGCCACCGGACATGCCGCCACCAGAGCTACTGCCGCGTCCGGGAGAGAGCGTCGAAAAGATGCGCGCCAGGCTCGTATATCAGTCTCGTAAGCGTGGCACGCTCGAGAGCGATCTTCTCTTGAGCACGTTCGCGAAGGAGCGGCTTCCGACCATGAACGAGGCGGAGCTGAAGGAGTTCGACAAGGTGCGTTTAATTTTGTGTACACGTTCACTAAGATGGCTGACAGTGTGTGCACAGTTAATGGACGAGCCCGACTGGGACATCTACTACTGGGCGACCGAGAACAGGACACCACCTGAGCGCTGGGCCGGTTCGTCTCTTCTGGCGAAGCTGAAAGTCCATGCGAGGAACGAAGGCAAGGTTGTGCGGCGCATGCCCGATCTATCATGAACTTGTGATGTACGGGTTCGTACATAGATCCTCGTGTCAATATCGTCATCGAATCCAGATCGCAGATAGAAACTCCTGTGCGCCCAACTTCTGCTCATACTTGTTCAGCAGCAGCTTGCGCACCTAACCGTCCTTCGGAAAGGTCTTCTACCATTGGTTTTCCGAGTGCACGCTGAAGACTTTGCCAAGGACATCCTCGAATCCCGCCCCCTCCGTCCACGAATCGTCATTTGGTCGGGTTCAAACGACCGTCCGCCAGAGAAGCAGAATGGCAGCACGCCAAAAGGCGGCATACCCGAGGCCACGAGCCTGCGCCAAAGCTTGAGGTAGAATGTTGCGCCCCAGTCCGTGGGCCCCTTGTGCGACGCGGGTGAGGTTGACATGATGCGGAAGGCTTCGCAGAGGTAGGGCAAGTGTGGGCAGGAATGTATGAGGGCATTGGTATCAGGGATGTAGAGCTTGTCCAGAGGCGCATATCTACTGCAGAGGGCTCGGGAGGCAGGTGCATCTGTTCATAACTCCTCCGCGTTTTGTGCCGTTCTCGTCTGGATTAGAAGCCGTGTGCCATCCAGGGTACCGAGGGCAGATGTACACACAAGAAAAAGGGCGATGGTGGTAGAAGTCTGATTTCAGTCTTGCGCGGTTGCTACGATGCGATGTGACACGTTGAGGGGAGGAAGACAAGCTGAACCGGCGCTGACGTCGTACGCTGATCATGTTAGGCTCTTGCCAGAACTGTGAGTTTGCAGTGGTCAGTTTCTTGGCAGATAACGTCCATGTCGGCTATACCGCTTTTTATGATCCTATCATACTATATAGCTGCGCATGAATGGACCTCACCTCAACTGGTTGACCTGAGTCTTCATTGCTACTTCATTACTGTCCCTTGGCAGCTTTCGCAGGCTGGATATCCAATCAATTCGAAGACAACGGATCAAACCACGCATGCTGCGCAGATCCCGAAACACCCTAGTATATTCTGACGTCATGCCCTATGTAGGTGCTCACTCAAATCTTCGCACTCCTCTAATAGTCGAGTGGCGGCGCTCGCCAGAGGGTATCAATATTAATATTCAATAGTCAGAATATTTTTGTGGGTTGTGCGTGCACGTGTTATGTGCGTTTCGCAATTGCATATGCGCGAAAAGTAGGCAGCTGTTCTCTGCAGATTATTATGCCTGTTGCGTTCACATTACGTCTGTAGTGCGTCACACTGAGGAGCCGATTCTAAAAATGCAGGCTCCAGCTGGTCGTCAGGCCTTCAGGTCCAGCTCGGCAAGCCGGCCGCGTCGAGCTCCCACATCTCAGGAACTGCTCATTCGGTTGGAATAGGAGTCACGCAGCAGGCCCTCGGGCCATCAGCCTTGCATTTCAATGTACGCAGACGCACCAACGACAACCAGTCCTGCTAATGAGCGCA